ATACTCCTTGTCTAAGAAGATTTTTTAAATGTAGGTGTTTAATCAATTAGTGCAGCTACCAAAGAAGCATGAGCTCACAGGTCAGTTGGGGATTTAGTAGTTCTGGAATGCTGCCTGCAGTCTGAATCAATTCAAGCTCTGTTATAAAAACCGTAATATTGGTGTGGAGCTATGGGACACTTCCACATCTGATAGCCCATCACTTTGAGGTGAAAATCCTCACAGAAGAAAATTCTAATGTTTATAAAATAAAAGTTCATATTTCTTCTTGAATACTTCTTCCTTCCTGTGGGGAGTACCACTAAATCAATAATAAACTGTAAAGATATTATAAACAAAGCAAAACAAAACAAATAAACAAAAAGAGTGTTTTCAGTTTATTTGGATATATTTTTGAAGTTGCAACTTTTGAAATGTAAAATAAAATACTTCAGATTATCTGTGGCATGATCATAATAAATAAATATTAAGTTTCCAGTACATTATCTTCAATAATGAATCTCATGGCAACATTGCTGCTTTTCATTACTGCCGTCACACTGATGCACCAAGTAAGTCTGCTTTCAACTAAATGCTGTCCACAAATATGTGCAATTCATTCACATATACATTGTTGCAGAGGGAGTAAATGAGGGCAAAGCCTGACCTTCTGATTTTAATATCCCATCTAGCTATAAAACGTCTACGTTTAAATTTGTGTTTTCAAAGTATTTCACACCACTGAGACACTCTTGGCAGAGTAATTTTTCTTATGTGTACAGCATTTGCCCACCCATCAGCACTGTCTTGATCTGACAGTTAAAACTGTTGAAAACCAAAAAGAATAAAATAAAGAAAATACCCAGCCATGAAATTTCATAATAAAGAACGTGATTTTTTCTGGGCCAGATGATTCGCTGCAGCAAAAGGTTAGTCTTTAGTTCAAACAGTGCTTTCAACATTGGAATCCTTGCTAGCCACAGAATCATTTCCAGCCAATTACAGAGGATCTTAATCTGTACCGAAAAACGTTCCCAGCTTCTTCTGCGCAGCCTTGTAGAGCAGCGAGATCACCTTTAGGAGGAGCCTCTTCCCCTCCAGTACAGCAAACAAAAACACTCGGTGGTTCCTGCAAAGCTTTAGATATTATAATATTGTTTCATTAACAAATACTCTGAAAAAGGTGGAAAACAATAAAAAACAACCTCATGAGAACTTTAACTCCACAGCCTTTTCTCAAAATAACCATCTGTATCTAAGCCTTCCATGACAGATGCATGTCTAATTTGCTCTTAAAAAATTTCAGTGATGGTGCAGTAGTGGTCAACAAAAATGTTAAAAATGAACAACCAACTCTTTAGCATAAACAGCCTGACAGAAATAAAACAGAACCAGAGTCAGTGGAGATAGAAATCTGCTGAGTAGTAAAAGCAGTTTAGAAGCAAATATTATTTTGAGGACGCTGTGAAGAATAGAAATTAGGTTCTCAATTGAAGGGGTAAGAAATAATTAAATTTACCTAGGGGTGGTCATAAAAGTGGCTCTAGCAGAAATCAGGACCAGACTTAACCGAAAACAAGAAAAGGTAGAAAGCTATACAGAAGGTTAGATTTTGCAAATCTAAGCCAACCCTTCTAATCTGTTACCTTTGTTGCTAACTCTGCTGTAAGTACACCTGTTCACTTCTTGCACTCTCCTCTTAGGTCAAAGAAGATAAGGTAGAGATACACTTTATTCTGCATTAATCTTGTTCAGGTAATTTGTCAGTGCTTTAAGAAATAAAAGGAATGTCTAAATTGATCCTTAGTGTCCTGACTTGTTGTTTGTGTCCTTTGATCTCTGGGCCAAGCAATGTCTGTGTCTAATTGATCTTATATCTTCAGTCAGCAATTGATCCCACCTAACAACAGTCACCTTAGAAGTGAAATATTTCTTAATGTACAACTTAATTCTCCTTTACTATGGGTTAAGGCATAAAAAAAAGGTTATTCCATTTCTCTTTACAGGGTTCTCTAAGATCACTAAAGTCCATGATCCACATCTACACCCAGCCTTCCTATTTCCCAAACTACACAGCCCATATACCTACCATGTTTTTCTGCATGACTGGTCATTCCCACCTTCCTCTGGGTTTGTTCCAATCTGTCAGTTTTTTCTTGAAGGGGGATAAGGAAATCCTGCATGCTCACCAGTGGGAAGTTGCAAGCTAAACTACTTCAAGTGCCTCCCCCACCCTGTTAAACACGCCATGTGCCGACTTTTGTTCATAGAGATGTGACCCCTGTGAGGAGTGACTTGAGCAAACTTGTTTAACTTGAACTGCAGTGGAAATGTAGCATATATGGAAGC